TGTGTGTGTGTGTGTGTGTGTGTGTGTGTGTGTAGTACCAGAGATCGAACTCAAGACCTCGTGTTTGCAAGGGGTCCAGAGCTAGCTCCCTGGCCCTCCGTCATGTTATAGACTTTTCAACACTTCAAAACTACTAAACTGCTTTGAAACTATCTCATTGCTACTTTTTCTCAATAAAATTATTAAAATATGAAAAAATTCAAATATTTAAGAAAACAAATAATTTACAAATATTTAAATATTTAAGGGATTTTTGCTTGAATTAAGCATTTTTCATGTAACATAAAAAGTGGATATGAACCTGTAAGTAAAGAGAAAACAGTCACCTGAGAATTTATACATATGGTCATCTAACAATATGCTTTTGTATGTTAACTGTGATACAAATATAAATTCTTGTATTTGTGTGGTGCTGTGTTTTGAACCAAAGACCTTCGCTCTGAGCTTCATTTTCAGCCCTTTAGTAATTTGTTTAGGTTTATAGCATTGAGGAAGGGACTATGTTTTTATGTTGCCAAAGTGGGACTAAAACTTGTAAGCTTTCTGCATCAATATCCTCCACTGCAGGGCTTATGACTATATGTCTCCAGGCTTTGTATATTTGCAATGATTTAAAACTATTCTGAGGGCCTGGGGAGATAGCTCCACTGATTAAGTGTTTGCCTGGAAAACACAATGTCCTGAGTTTGATCCCTTGTACCAACAACAAAACTATTCTGAGATTTGGTTTTCATTTTGTATTAAGAATTAGTGTAGAAAGGAATCTTTCAGAATAGCTTACATTCATCTTGACAAAACAATTTAATATTTACCTATTGATTGCTTTTTTATTTTCATTTTATTTTTTTATTTTATTGAGAAACAAATAGCAATGAGACAGTTTCAAAACAGATTAATAGGACAATTTCAGTAATGAATACATTGTACATTATTATCTTCTTAGTGGTTATTCATAGAACAAGATGCAGACAGGATATCCTGTCCAAATACTATTAGTACAAATCTTTCTTCTCTTTGAATTAAGTGACAGTAGCTGTATATCTACTCTAACTATTCTGTATATACAGATACAAAAGAGTCCTTCCTTTGTATCCCCTTTTCTTGTTTAATCCTGTCAGAGATGGATATTCCATTGACATCTAAATATTATAGGTGTGTAAATTCAGCAAAACAATTCAACACAGTCCAGCAGTCCACAATAGTAGTGGGTTATCTACAGAAGTTGTTAACTTGATCTTTTCAAAGCTCAGCATATTAATATGGATTTACTTTATATACCTTGTTTTTATACTTCTTTGCTGGATAGTAAAGACCAAGATAAAGCAAAACTTATATAATCCAAAACATAATTTTTGTATCTGATAAGGTCAGTAAAGTACCCTCAGGATTTATCCTGTATCCCTGTACCACAGTTTGCAGATCCTTTGTCAGAGTCAGCCATGTGGATGAGTCATGGCCATTGCTTGACCAATTTGTTCTCGTGAAAGCCTGAGAGAATGTTTTCTCTCCATGTGACTCTCCTTCGGCACACTCTACATCATCAATCACATTTCTCCGGGGCCCCATAATCTCCTTGATCAGAAAATTTGGGACATAACTGAGTTATATGATGTTACAGTACAGGTTCTCCTATGTCCTGAGTCTTTACTGAACTTGAAAGACTAGAGTCAGAATGTTGCCTGTTCTTACATCCCTTCTATTTCTCTAATTTTTGGTCTGCATACTTAGGTTGTTAACTCTCTAGAAGTGAATACTATTATTACCCTACAACATATGGAGCTGTGTTTAACTTCACTATCTGTCTGAATATCAAACATCTTAGGCATAACATGGAACAGATGTTTTCTATCCAGTATTGACATGATAAAGT